GCCTCTCTTGCACATATCTCTCGTACACCTCTCGCACACCTCTCTTGCACACCTCTCTCGCACACCTCTCTCGCACATCTCTCTTGCACATATCTCCGCACACCTCTCTCGCACATATCTCTCGCACGCCTCTCTTGCACATATCTCTCGTACACCTCTCGCACATCTCTCTCGCACATCTCTCTCGCACACCACATATTGATCCATTTTGATCTATAAACTATAGAGCGGACGGGGAACATGACCCTGAGTCATCAAAATCCACCATCGTGGACATCACCGGACCGGAAGCAGAAGAGCGGCAAAAGACAACACCGGAGCAAGCTTTAAAGGAGAGCAAGAAAAAAAAGAAAAAAAAAGCCTTCTCGAGAAAGTTACCTAATCCGGAAGCGTTGAAACCTCCTAATAGATTATCATCAGCTAAAAATACCCCTGACGAAAAGCTGCATGACCATGGTGACACAGCCGGAATACTGCATACAGGCAGTGAAGACAAGAACGTCGACTGGGATAGAAGCACCGACAGCAAACTTGACTTAGACTGGCAGTGATAACATTGGCGATGATGAAGATGGCGACGACAGAGAAAATGAAAAGGAAAACATCCCTGACGCTGACAAGCCCGACACGGAAAATAGAAAGGATAACATACCTGACGCTGACGCTGACGAGCCCTATCTACCAAAATTGATACCCAAAAAGGATTTCTGGGACTGTGCCATACAACGCGAACACGATTATGACAAAACAGATAAGAATATTTCAAGAGGATGTATCTGGGAGGAACAACTACATCCAGATAAAAAATTCAAAACCTAGGCTGAAGCGAGGAGGTTGTGCGATAAGATTGCTGACATTTGCAATGTGGTGCTATGTAGCAATGTAGACTTGAAGCGAGGTAAAGGGGTGTTAGCTCACAACAGAAGCGGTTCTGCCACAAAATTGAGAAACCGCAATAAGGTTAGAAGATATTTAGCTAAGCAGGTAACTCACAAAGTACCAAAACATCGCATGAGGCATTCCATAAAATGTGACTGCAAATTCAAGGTAAGGCTATTTATGTGCCCCTCTCTCGCCTCCTTCCAATTAAGCGCCCCTCTCTCGCCCACCTCTAAGTTAAGGGCCCCTCTCTCGCCCCCCTCAAATTAAGCGTCCCTCTCTCGCCTACCTCTAAGTTAAGCGCCGCACTCTTGCCCCCCTCCAAGTATAACACACTTAATAATATTTTATGCTTTCAGCTTAACTTCGTGCACACGGACGCACCACCAGGTTTTGACCCAACTCCATTTATAAGTGGTGAGAAGTATGACGGTTGGATAGCGCCAGGCGTAAGTCATTTTATACACACTGAAGGATGCAACCCCTGCAATGAACAAGCAACTGTTTCGTTTGTAGTAAGTGGGAAACTGTCAAATGGGACAGATTTGGACTCGAGGTAAGCAACTAATGATGTCAGAAAAGGTATATTTTATGTGGAATATAATGGTGTTTAGAGAGGAAGAGTGCAAAAGAGGTGAATTTAAAAACAAATTTCATTAACAAATTATATATATGCAGATGAAGAACATCCTAGTTACCATGGCCATGCGGAAATGCCCGACGAACGAGTTCCGGAAGTATATACTTTAGGTGTTTCCAGATGAAGTATTCGCTACAGCCCAAACTATACATAACATCCGAGTCGTAAGTTATATCAAAAAAAAATTATCGGTTACTGTTTTATGACACACCATACATCGTTTTAGGGTTTAGGGTTATCGTATACTTATGTTACATAACCTGCCACACGCTAAATATGTGCTTATTTATGCATGCACTTATATTCAGAACGCTATCAAATACGCCTTAAGATACAAAATGAGCAAACAACTTTTTGACGATGTTAAGACCTTGCCGTCTTATAATAAGAGGTCAAGCACATTTGCACCTGGTGAGGAAATATCAGAGGAGTGCATCGAGGAGTTTGTGAAGATAACAGAATGTGAAGAAGCAATGAACTCGTAAGCATTTTAGGGTTTGTACGTATAAACCTCGATGTGGTGTCTCTTTCTAATGCATAACTCTAATACATAACTCTAATGCATACCTCTAATCCTCACCTCTAATGCATACCTCTAATTCTCACCTTTAATGCATAACTCTAGTGCATACCTATGCGTACCTTTAATGTATACCTCTAATGCATAACTCTAATGCATACCTCTAACGCATAACTCTAATGCATACCTCTAATGCATAATTCTAATGCATACCTCTAATCCTCATCTCGGGAGCGACTTTCTCAACTTCTTCAAATTGGCACAATCTATGAACCCGCACCTGTATGTTCGAACTCTGCGCGACAAAGCGACCAATGTTCTCAAATGTGTTCTTTGGATGACGAACACCATGAGAAAGAATTATAGAAATTTTGGTCGTATTGTCAGCATGAATGCTCGCCAGAAGGGGAATAAGGAGTGGTGGTGGCAAATCTCTATATTGGTAGGGCCAGGCAACGACGGCAAAATCAAGTACTTCGGTGCTATGCTATTCTATATGGAGACGAAAGAAGTATATAGATTTGCATTAGATTCTCTACATAAATCAATGGGCGAGAGGGCGCCATTGAAAACTAAGATAAATTTTGCCGATGGATTTTTGAATCAATCCGATGTTAGAGAAGGACAGTTTTATTTTGCTGATAGCTACAATACATGGCAGACTATCAGTAAGAATCTTGGTAGGTACTACAGTGGGCGGGTGAAAAAGGCCTTGGACAAAGATATGCACGCCACAACACAACAACTATGTGACCATTACCTTGATATTGCCATTGATATACTGTCTCAGAAGAATGCTGCCACTGGGGTTCGATTCTTGAATAAGATGAAGCAATCATCTGAACACATGTTTGAATGGGGTATAGCTGGAAAGCTCACAATGGGGCTTAAAGGGTCACAGATGAGTGAATCGTCAAATTCTCAACTGGAAGCTTGGTTCAAGTCTTTGATACTTACAATGCCTAGACTTTTCACTGGCATATGCAAAATTGCCAATCAGATGCATTCAGCCAGTAGAATAGCAAGAATCAGGTATAATATGATATGCAACATAGGGAAGTACGATGATGACGGCCCGCCTAGATTCCACGAGCCCGTTCACATAGCAGACTGCAGAAAGTGGGGCAGTGAAATATGTACCGAGCGGGTTTCAGTCGAGGTTGATTAGGCCAGATCGTATCGTATCGACTCATCCCAGGACCTCGGAGAAAATGTGACGTCCTACAAGTGCGCGTACGACGGAAGAGAGGACCGATACCTAACCGTTTTAGGGACAGGAGAAAGGTAATCGTTCACTACTTATGCGCCCCACTAATCTACATCGCTTATGCGCCCTACTAATCTCCACCGCTTGTGCGCCCCACTAATTTACACAGTTTATGCGACCCACTAATCTACACCGCTTGTGCGCCCCACTAATCTACACCGCTTATACGCCCCACTAATCTACACCGCTTATGCGCCCCACTAATCTACACCACAGGTTCATATGCACATGTGCAGATTGGAATCAATACCAGATTCCGTGCAGACATATTGTGTCAGTGTGTTAACACATAGGCAAACCTTTATTCCATCAGGCGTACTTCGACCACGTGTGGAAGCTCGAGATCAAGGATTCGAAAGACACGAAGTTTCCTATCATTGACGAAAACGATGTGGAAAACTTCGACTATGACACCATGGGAATAGGCGATGATAAAGACAGAGACAGCGAAGATTTGGATGACGGTGACGGTGAAGATTCGGATGGACACAAAAGTGATGAATCGGATGACAGTGACAATGATGATGCGCATGACGATGCCGGTGCAGATAAGCAACGGAGAAAGAAGTTTCACGATTCAAGTCTCATTTGAGCGAGAAGTATGGGACGTATCAAAAGCTGATGGGTGGAGTATACAAACAAGCAGACACCAATGGCCAAAATGATTTTCTACTCGCCTTGATGGAGGTTATGAGTTTAATATTTAAGCGTCTTAATGATGCCGAACATGGTGATGACAAGTTGGCAGCAGTGGGACGTGGGTTAGTGTTTTATTCCAAAAAGAACAAAAACGAACCTGTATCTCCATGTAATCTGTTCACCGACCCTGGACCAAGATCGAGACAGCCAGGAGGTCAAGCAACTAAACGCTACCATGGAGCTGAACCTCGAAATCAATCTAAAAAACCCCCGAACTGACACAAGAGATGGTGATCGCAAATTAAGTCTTAGTGATGAGTGCGCATCAAATTCCAGTGGTGAGTGCGCATCAAATTCCAGTGGCGAGGGCGCATCAAGTTCCAGGGGCGAGGGCTTATCAACTCTAGATGGTATTTCTACTTTGTGGGGTGATTTGTTTGGCGATGACAAGGCTCATACTGCTTTGGTCGATGATATGCTAACCGGTAGCAAGGCGGAGGGAGGCCAGAGCGGTAGCAAGGCAGAGGGGGGCCAGAGCGGTAGTAAGGGAGAGGAGGGCCAAAGCGGTAGCAAGGCACAGGACAAAAAAAAATCACAATCTAAGTCATTGGGCACCAATATTGACAGCGGTGTGTTCCATGAGCTAAAAGAGAATGGTCCCAAAGCCGATCCATCACCTAATCAAGCCGATCCATCACCTAATCAAGCCGATCCATCACCTAATCAAGCTTCACAATTCCAATCACAAGGCCGACATGCGTACGATGAGCTGACTCAATCGTCGCAAATCGATGAATCGATGAAGGTGCAGACAAGATCTCCTGGTAAAAAGGGTAGAGTATGTGAGATGTGCGGTGAGTCTGGGCATATTGGTGGAGTAAATGCATTTATATCAAGCGAAGGGGATAGGCAATTCCCAAGTCAACGCGTGAGGATTGGAATAACGAAATACCTCCAGTACAAACCAATCGGCTCACTAATAATATAAGTAACAGAAACGTTGAGATGATTCCTACTCAAAGAGCGAAATGTATCACTATATTGGGATACCATTTCGATACGCATGTTTCTAAAACCATTTTTTTAGTAGAAATAATAGGGTCAGTGGATAATCTAAAACATCAGGGATTGCACTATTGGGCCAGTGCATCTGATTACAACTCGGATATCCAAGAAGAAAAGTACGGTAGTTTTTGTGGCCAACAGCTAAAAATGCTTCAATATAATACACTTTGCTATTAAAATATACTTACATACATTGCTATTATTATATACCTTCATTGCTATTATTACATACCTTCATTGCTATTATTATATACCTACATGCTATTATTATATAACTACATTCCTATTAATATATACTCAAATTGCTATTGTTATATACTAACTTCCACTGCTATATTTATATACTTACATTGCAGTATTTCTATACTGTCATTGCTATTACTATATACTCTTACGTTGCACTTACGTTGCTATTCTTGATATACACGGACTTTCTTGGCGCATATATATATATATATATACATACACACACACACACATTTATATATATATATATATACATATATATATATATATATATAT